CCATTAACTGACGACCTTCATATAACTGTTGAAGCGGGTAGTACACGTTTCCTTTCATCAATACACGCCTTATTGCTCATGTATGGCCTTGAAACATTTACAGGTGACCACAACCACGTTCGGTGTATCGAAAATTGACTTTGAATCGGCATCTTGCATAGTTCATCAATGGTTATAACGTGGCATTATTATTCCTGAACATGAGATGTTGGTATATGTTTACATGTATTCCATTACTATGTGTAACATGCCGGGTATATAATAGCTTCCATGCGATGACGTAACAACTTACTGTCATAACCCTTTCATTACCCTTATTTTCCAGGCTAAATTGTTATTGCAAATTTTAATGATTTTTTTTATCATAATTTCCAATGGACCAAATGGGAATTATTACCAATTAGGACTCGATCAAAATAGAAACGCATGAACAGTTCCATTTAATATATTCAATATTATATAATCTATTAGTCTAGAGTATTGTCTATGGGAACAAAATATGTGGTGAACGAACTAGCTATGAATTAACATCATCGTTCGTGTTTAAATGACAAGCGCAGTCGCTACACATAAATCCGTCTGTTTTATCATTGTGAAAGAACACGTCAATTTTATAGATCGTGGTAAATGTAGTCAAACCTTTTTAATATTATGAGCCACATATACGTACTTAACGTATAACATGAAAATGAAATTAATTTTGTATAATTTATATCAAGCTCTTGGTAACATACATATAACAAGATTGTGCGTCATTGTTTTACAAATGTAAAAAGACTTTTCTGATTAGCCAGCACTTTGAATCTTAACAAAATCTGTTAGTAGCCTCCGCAATTTTTCTCGATTCAATCCATCATTCAGTGTTGTTGTAAGGATTGTCTTTTCCTTCTACATATAGACATGATTCCAGAGAAAGAATGCATTATAACGATGTCATATATGTGTGTTGAGGGAATACACTCAATCAAAAGGTTGAAGATCGTTGTTTGTTTTAAGGCATAGTCTGCTTTGAATTACTAATAAGAACAATACGGTGAAATAGTATCTTGTACACCAATACATCATTGAAGCCTGATACAGTGAACCTTTTTTGATGTAAATCAAAAGAAACGTGAAGTAGAAATAACGCATTGTCAAATCGAGTTGATAATATTAATAATATTCCGTGCAATATTAGTTTACATACAAACCTTCTAGAGTAATGCCTGTATTTTATCAAGACTTGCAGCACATTATATGGAACTTCTAAAGCATTTACATGATACCTGATATGGTCAACATCAGACGATAGCATTGAATAATAGTCATCATTATTACAAATATGCACAACGTCATTTGGTTAGGAAAACAGTCAGTAATCAACAATTGTAATATCGCGTACGTATTGATAAGAATTAATGTTGTGTTATGTATTCGTGCTCAGTGATAATCACGTCCACGGCGCGCAGAAAAGTTGCTGTATAATAAATACTTTAAAACGAAATACGCGGTTTTAGAAAAACAAATCTACACCATATGTTTTTGAATTTGAATTAAAATTATCATATATTTCGTAATATCATATATTTCCGATGAAAGCTTCGCGGAGTGAGCTCATTGAAACTATTATTTTAATTGAGTTATCATTTACATCGAATAAAGTTTGTGTTGCTGCACCTCAGTAAATCTTAATTCATTTAATGTTTCAGGTCTGAGAACAAGCGATCTGTTCAAGCTTCTATTCTCTGAAGGTGCGTTCTGTTTTTACTTCTGAAAACAAGACATCGTGTCATACCATGCTCTCCATGATGCATCTTGTTCGTATTCCGTAATTTGTTTTTCGTATTCATTTGTTTTGTATTCATTTGTATTTGTTTTGTGTTTTATGAGGTGTAATCTTTCATTCATCATGGTTTGTATGATATCAGCTTACCATGTAATTTCAAATATAAAAATTAAATCAATTAATTGTGTTTATTATTGTGAATGTAAGACATACCGTTCTCATAGGTAGAGTAGCACACTGCGCTACATTCATTTAGAATACACATAGAATCATTGTTATTTACAGTTAATTGTTTATTTTGCATTAAATAAAACAAATGAAAATATTTAAAATTAAGTTGCAGTGCGAGTTAGTTAATTAATTAATCAAACATACAGATATAATGCTTATTCCCAAACAGTTGACATGCGTTAGAGATTAACTAGCGATATCCCAGATAATTAATCACGTGATATTCTGTCCGATTATAAACGTGAAGGATTGTCCAAATGTGTTCACAACTCGAACGGTCGCTTTCTCCTGCATAGAAACAAATGAGCCAAAAGAATGAATTTTCTTTTTAGAATTGTTTCTTTTTTTTCAAGCAGTGCACGGTTGTAATAATTTGATATTCGGGGAACTATTTTATTGATTATTTCACATGATAATAGATTGTATGACGTACATGAACAACATTATCACGTGATACTAAAACCGAAACCCATCATCCGTCAAATGACCGGATATAATCTTATCAATCTGAGATCTTTCATTGTGGTATTGAGGGTACACGGGGTTGACCATCCTGTTATCTCTAAACTGTGTAATATTCACAAACTTCTATGTTCTATCATCAGTGTTTTGATTACAAATGTAAAAAAAGTACGAACACAGACGCCTAATTTGAAAAATGAACTAAATCTGACAGAAAATGAGATAATTGAAAATTCTGAATCACATTGCGTTGTACATATTATATATACACATTTTGTGATAAAACTATTCCTGGAGTACGATTAGGACATTGGAATATTTCCTATAATGTAAATTGATATATCTACAAAAATACCTTTTATATTACAGCAAACAAAAGCATTTCAAAAAACAATGGACCAATCTGAGAAATATACTAATTAAAAACTATAAAATGACCTGTAAAAATAGAATTGTTTAGTTATTTAAACAGTCAATATAATATTGGTATAAGAATGAAATAAGTGAATATATATATGAAATAATAATACACAATTCAAGTATCCAAATGGTAACACATCATATAATATATCCTTAACTCAATACTTAGTCTGTAAATACAGTGAGACGTCGCCTTTAATATATGCTGCGACTTAATGTAAAATGTAATGTAAAAGAAAAAATAATATTGTACCATTTTGTTCTTGAAATTGTTAAATGTGTTCTTGAAATGTCATACCATGTTTTACAATGTATTATGTATGATAGAGCATAATTCTGTCGTTAACAGAATATGTAATTTTTCGCTTACTGGGAGATCTGGCTTAATGCACAAAAGGCGCCGACCGAACGTCTGAGACAAAAATCTAAAAATATGATTTTAATTTCCTTTTTTAAATAGTTCAATATCGAAATGCAGAGGAACATGTGGCGTTGATATACCATCACATCATCAAAATTGCACCCTCATCAAATGTGTGTAGCAAATTAATGAGCGTCGAAACACCAAACAAGTACATTCGCGTTTATCAAATCCCAGGAAATGTAAGCTCAATCTCAATTCCAGAAATGCACATTTTGAAATGATAGTAATGTTAAATTAAATAAAAATATCGGGGCACTATACTTGGTTCGGTAAGAATCGATGTACAACATTGAAAACAGCGTGTTTTGTCTGTCAATATCATTTGGGTATAGTGTCTTACATTCACGTCCTGATTGCACTAAAAAAACAATTATTTTTACTTTTTTACCGAAATTTGTTTTTTATGAAAACAACTGTTTTCTCAAAGGCAGTTCGACGATTAACAAAATAACTTTAATATAATTGTTCACTAATACTGGAATGATTAACTATAGTTTACCTCAAAGCAAACATAATATTACATTTATTGTACTGTATCTTTTATACGACAAGTTTAAACAGTTCCCTGTGACACTGTACTGACAGCAGTGGCCGTGCTATTACCATATTGAGACTTTGTTTTCATCGAATTAGTCGAAGTCACCGGGGCCACCTTTCTCTGCATTATTGCCTTAAGACATGGGAACATTTTGAAGAACTCTTTACGGAAGTTCTCATTGAAGTATGCGTAAAGGAACGGGTTAACAAAACTGTTACACACATACATATTATGCGAAATATGCCACCATAGCTCCATGTAATAAATTAAATCCAGTGATGGAGTTAGGTAGAATGTGAAATACAATTGGTAGATGTAATAGGGCAACCAACTCAGTGCGAAGAGAAACACCACAAGAGTGAGCATTTTGACTGCTTTTTTCTTGTTACGATTAGACGCATTGGAGGGGCCTTTAGAGAACCAAAGACTTGATATCATAACAGAATATAGAGCGACTATAATTATAAGTGGCAATATGTACATAACAATTGCATCCATAACCTGAAAATAAGGTTTAAGGTAATGATAATGCAATGGTACCATGCAGAACGTACGAGTAACATTGGTTATCTGGATAGTATATTCGTACATATCGATTATGATAGACTTCCGAAGACCGTATCCAATTGCCAATATCCAGATGATCGCAACGATAATCCCTCCCTGTTTTCTGGTAATTCTTGGCTTCATTGGTTGCACTATTGCTCTATATCTGTCAATGGCAATACCGACTAACGAGTTAACCGTTGCGCAACGCGATATCCACTGGAACCATGCAAATGTCCAACAAACATAAATATTATTATTTAAGTAAACAAAATATCGACCAGCCCATTCGAACAAAAACCGCCATGGGATATCAAATAAACCCATTAAGAGATCAGCAGTGGATAGAGATATGATAAAGAGATTGGTGGCGGATTTACGGAGTTTGGGTTGGCGTATTACAGCTATAATCACCCAAATGTTACCGCCTATGATCAATACAAAATATAAAGAATAAAGAAACATTTCATAGCCGTCCGGAACAGCTAGCCTATTTTGGAGAAAAAACATTGCCATATCGAATCCTAGACCACCACCAGTGACATTTGATGCTGATTCATCGATCTCGTTCTCTCCGGGAAAGTCAGTCACGTTCTCCATATCTTGAACTATATATCGAAAAAGAATGAAAGACATTAATATTATGCTCTGATTTGTGAAACGATGAGATTTTGTCATTTGGGAATGTTGTTTGCAAACTGAAAATGGTATGTCAAGGCATTCTAACTTTCAATCTTATCGATTGTAAAATGAGAAAATAACGTGACGGTTTACATCTTTGAATCACCGTTTGTCAAATATCAAAACGAGTCCCCGAGTGCGGTAGATTTTCGTATTCAGTAGTGTCGATTTTCTTACACATCGTTATATTATTGCTAAATAATATACATAAACAACATTGTCGTATATCCCAAGACTCCTTGCAACCCCTGGTAAAGACATATAGCCAAAAGATAATGTCAGGTTTTTGGATATCCTATACGTTTTCTGATTGTGTACATCAATGAGGTAACGATCAAATGACTCATACAATATAAGATTAAACAACTGTTCGACATGCTTAGTTTTGAAATTGTAGAAGATAGATAAAACATAAACATATGTAAGTCGCGTATTGATTCTGAACTAATATGACTTATTTCCATGTTACTAATTGCAATAAAACGTTTCATACTTTATTCTATAATACGTCTCACTCCAAGTAACACAAATCCACTTTTTTATATTTAATTCACATATATATGTCGTCGATCTGCGGATTTGATCTGCGGATTATATTTGATCAATAATTGATATTTATCATTATTGCAATTTTCATAAAACTTTATGCACTTGTAATGTATCTATATCAATTTTGTCACGCAGCACAAAAATACACTCGAAAACATGCAATAACATCTACAAAAATTGCATACTGCTATCTGCGAATAGGTACAATAACCTGGCTGGATATTTTCAAAAGACAAAAACCTAAACTAAAGCTAAACAGTACACAGGATGTGTCTACAATTAAATAAGGCAAATAAAGAAGCCTGAAGCAATGCAAATAAATACCAAGCGAGTGTATACTATGTCATTACACAATTACTCAGCCCAATGAATATATATCTCAACATCTCAGCAACCTACCTTTGTGTTGAACTTGCAATAATTGTAGTTTATCTGCTATGTTGCAAATAGCTTATTAGATATTTCTGAAAATCAAAGAAAGAGAGATTAGTTGTTCGATATATCCATTAGGACCTCGTTGAAAAATATGACTAAAGATTTGTCTAACAGATGAGAAGTAGAGATGGATATTTCGCCAGAGCATGTGAAGGAGTAAGAAGTGAGTTGTGTTAATCCATAACTTGAGACATACATTCAAGTGCACGTATGATCTCCAAAATAAACATGACGTTGTCCTTGTAGACAATGCTTCCGACATTACAGTGTTTGCCTATGAGTAGTATTAGTATGCATACTGGAGGTAACAATCCATACCTACAAGCAAAAATGAAATGTCTGCTTATCACAAGTCATTATATGAACGTTCATATCAAAGAAGTAGTGGACGACTTGTCCAGCTTGTATTGATTATCACAAAAAACTAGATATCTTCAAATGTTGAACCAAGGAGTTTGTCTAAAACTTTAAAAAATCTACTGTGTCTACCGTCAAAGAGGGATTTTAAAAATAGTGTACTAAAAAAATAAACTGCTATAAATCAAAAATTGATTTACAAGTTATACTACTACAAATCACCTTGTTGGAACTGATGCGAAACCTTTCTTAACTAAAGATGGCATTACCAACGCGCCATAATATCTTTATTACAGCATAGTGTGAAAGATATATATATCCACAACATTTCGGCATTCCGATGAGAGCAAATTATGTTCCCATACTGGCTGATTTACTTTTTTGTATGTATAAAGCTCCATTTTTAAACAGAATTTTTTTTATCGCACATTCGGATAAGTTATTGGTATACATCAACAACCCTAAATTTAGTTAATATAATGAGAATACATGTACATGTAAAAAAGAACACACAATCTGCTTCTTCATTTGCATACAACTATACATGCCAGTTTCGTTATATGATATATAAGATGATTTTAATTTAATCAAGGTCAATATTTCACAACTGTGAGCAATATCCTACACTATCCTATCTACAACCCGGGCTACAGTACTTATGCAGACTTTTCAAAAAGACATTGCCTTTATTTGAAACTGAAAGTTTTTTGCAGAGTTGTAGAGAACGATTAGCCATCAAAAGCTCGTCAATCGATATAATAAGCTTGTGAATAGCACTGTTACATAGTTGATATGAGTTTTCACAAGTGTCTCTTGTCAGATGTATACCTATGGGTTTTCACAGATACCTTTCCATGGATACCAAAAAATCCATATTTCTTTGTTAGACTGAATTGACTATTTAGTATTTAACAGTTGTTTAGTTTTGTTCTTTTTTGTTGACTGTTACTGTGTTTTGGCTATGTCAATTTACATATTCGGCTTTCAAATGATCTACAAAATATATACAACAAAAGGTCTTTTCGGAAATTTATCGAAATTTAGAGTTATCAAAATAATTGAGGCATTAGTCAGAGTTATCAAAATACTTCAGGCATTAGTAATAGTATCAGAGTTATCAAAATACTTGAGGCATTATTAATAGTATCCGAGTTATCAAAATACTTCAGGCATTTGTAGTAGTATCCGAGTTATTTACATAATAGAGGCATTGATAGTACTATCAGATTTGTCAAAATACTTGAGGCATTAATTAGTAATAGTATCAGAGTTATTTAAATACTTGAGGCATTATTAATAGTATCAGAGTTATTTAAATACTTGATGAATTATTAATAGTATCAGAGTTATTTAAATACTTGAGGCATTAGTAATAGTATCAGAGTTATTTAAATACTTGAGGCATTATTAATAGTATCAGAGTTATTTAAATACTTGAGGCATTATTAATAGTATCAGAGTTATTTAAATACTTGAGGCATTATTAATAGTATCAGAGTTATTTAAATACTTGTGTCAGGGATATTTAAATACTTGTACGTGCAGTAAATTGTGTCAATCTGAAACACTCAAATCTTAGTCGCTCACTGGGAGTAGATCGGATGTATTCAAATTAGTTTTGAAATTGATGTAACGTAACAGTCTTTAATGTACCATGTGACAACTTTTAACACAGAACAATTTATACCTGTCTCACAGCATATTCATCCCGGTAATGTAATGCAAATTACATGACTATGGAACATTCACTTATGGAATATAATCGTTGTTTTTAACAGGGAAACACGTCATCGAAGAATTTAGTGACTAATTTTATGTTTCGAACCTCATACTGTTATTCTCCTTTTGAACGCGGAAGTGATCTTTCATCATTTTTTTTATCCGCGTTGTTTCGTTTTTCTTGCAAAAGAATATCTATGTCCTATGACATATTATGATAATTTGTTTTAACATTATTCAATTAACCAAGAGAATATAGAAACAAATTAAAAAAAAAACAACATGAATACGCAATAACAATGACGTCATAATAGCAAGCCGATTTCAAGTTCTTAATTATGTTGTCACGCGACTGGCATGCTTTACGTATGAAATTATTACCTCATAACTGTAGTTCTATGTTTAGAGACATTTTCTGTCTATTACGTCTCAGTGACATGTAATATTAGTTGACGAAATATATTAATGTGGGCGATAACAGACCCTAGTTCATGAGAAACAGCGATCTAATATGTTGTCAATCATGCTACATGCTTTGTTAAGAGCGTTTGCACTTAAGGTATAAACAGAAAGTGTTCATTTGAATGGAAACCCATTTGAAATAAGTGTTACCACTTAGAAAGGATTCCTGGAGAGTTGACACAATTGGAAACTCTACAGAGGCAATAATTTTGGTTAAATTAACGAGTCGTGCAAACCAGTCGAATTTAATGTAATGTGCTAACATGAATTGGCATACGGGCGACAACATATACCTATACCTATTTTATTTCACCGTAAAAGTAGTAAAAACATATTATTTATAACCAAGTTTGTATTTGTGGATACTATTAGGCAATGTTAGTGCGACGTGTATTCAACTATAAAAAGCGACACGCATATCACAGATAATAACAACATATGCTGCAAACGACGGCCATTACGAGTTTGACATAACATCGGATATTGTGTTCAGGGCAAAATGATCACTATACCGTTTCATCAACAAAACAGCTCGTGTATTTTGTTGTGAGGTCAATAAACTAACCCGAAGACATTCGTTTTAACAATATACGTCAACGCAGAGAACAAAAAATGATAATCATGTCGCGAGGCATTGGCTCTAATGTATCCATAATTTAGTGCGGTTATAATTGAATGTTGTCATGCTTGAAGGAATTTTATATTACCAGTCGCAGTAGCGAACACATTCTCACTCGTTTATTCAGAAATGGGAATAGATGGAATACAAATCCCAATCTGTACAAATATGAATAGTCAATGACGTTCAATTGGTGTGTTTAGTTAAAAAAAACATTGATACATTTTGCCACGTCTCATGGACAGCCAATATGTGTTAGTATTAATAGCACAATTCCGTACATTATAGTTACTGCGCACGCCGATAGCTTTATTGCGATATTATGAAGTATTTCTCTTTTCTAAAAAAATGTGTTCTATTAGTAATGATAAAACCGCACAAACACAATACGAGACATTCTGTATTCTCAGTCTGTGCAGTTGTTGTTATCGCCCATGTGGTCGCACATTTATTTTCACACCTGTATACTGTGCAGACGCACCAATTTTATCTGTCTGTAAGTTTACAACGCATGTGATCCACATTTGTACACATAGCTTTTAGCACCTTTTGTGCAGCAAAACAATTTAGGAATCGTATCATGAATACGCTAATATCAGACCATGTTAGTACCTAACAGTAGACAGAATTGGCATGTCGCTGTGTTCAGAAACATGTCAATCAAGCGTGTGCCGATTAACCAATTTACCCTCAGTGTATCCATCCACTGCGTGATTTGACAAGTATTTAGATTAAATAAAACCAATACTCGGACTCTTTTACGAGAGTTGTATAAAAC